CCCCCCCCCCCCGCTCTTGTCTCTGCAGAGCCGCGGCCTACAGCAAGCTGGGGGACTACGCAGGCGCGGTGCGGGACTGTGAGCGCGCCATCTGCCTGGACCCTGCCTACAGCAAGGCCTATGGCCGCATGGGGTGAGTGGCGCTGGGAGCTTCGTCCTGTGCTCAGCCTCCTGCTTGTCACTGGAGGAGAGCACACCAAGGTCGCTTCGGTCCCCTGGAGTTGGGCGGGCCACCTCAGCTGAGTTCTCAGCCTGGGCGTGGTCCTCTGTGGTCACCAGCCTCCTGCTGAACCACAGCAGTGGCGCCTGAGTCCCCTCAGCTGCAGAGACTTGGGTGTAGCCCGGGGGCTCCCTGCAAACAGCAGGAGACTCTGTCTCTCGGAGTCCAAGGGTTTGGGAGCACAGTGCCAGTGTGTGTGTCCTTTCACCGCCTGCCCTGTGTCTCCGCTTGGGCTGTGGCAGTGCCTGGCATGGGTTCATGGGCTCAGGTTTCCCTGCCAGCTGAGCCCCCCAGAAGCTGGCTGTGTCTCCATGGAGAAAGTGGTCGTGGTGCAATGATGTCCGAAGGAATGGGGGCTCGATTGCTGGATCTCCTTGGGTCCAGTGCCTCAGGAGTCGGGCAGCAGTGACCTCATACCATGCTGTCACCCCTAGCCTGGCGCTGTCCAGCCTGAACAAGCACGCGGAGGCCGTGGCCTACTACAAGAAAGCCCTGGAGCTGGATCCCGACAATGAGACTTACAAGTCCAACCTCAAGATAGCAGAGCTGAAGCTCAGGGAGACACCGAGCCCTGTGAGTCCTAACACGGGGTGACGCACTGGGAGGCCACGCGGGTGCACAGGCCCCAGGGTGGGAGGCCTTGTGGCTAGGTGTGTTAAGACACAGATGTGGTGAGCCGGGCATGGTGGTGCACACCTGTGATCCCAGCACTCGGGAGGCTGAGGCAGGAGGATTGCTGTGAGTTCGAGACCAGCCTGGGCTACACAGTGAGTTCCAGGTCAGTCTCAACTACATAGTGAGACCCTGTCTCAAAAACAAACACACAGGTCTGGGGATTTAGCTCAGTGGGACCACGGCTGCCTCTCAAGCACAAGGTCCTGAGTTCAATCCCCGATCCCCGGTACCAAAAACAAACCAAACAAAGAAGAAAAAGACATAGATGTGGCACACGGCTGTCCTTCAGCCCCTGGGGAGGCTGTGACAGGAGGGTTACACGTTCAAGCCCATCCTAAGCAGTTTAACAACTTGGTGAGACCCTGTTTCAAAATAAAAAAGGGCTGGGGGTTTGGCTCAGTGTGAAGGCCCTGAATTCAGTTCCTGTTGTAGAAAAAGAACAAAAAGAAAAAGACAGCAAAACCACTGTTGGGAGGCAGGAGGGAGGTTCCTGCTCAGCCCCCAAGTCAGGGCACGCGCCAGGCGGGGTCCCACAGCCTGCACTGGGGAATCGGGGTGGACGCAGCGGGCTCTGGATGGCTCTCCTGGTGGCCGGGGCAGGTGGGCAGCGCTGTCAGCGTGGGAGCCCGCAAGAGTGGGGCTGCGTTGGCCCTGCAGCCTGTGTGCGTGGGGCCACCATGGGCGTCAGCGTGCCCTGGGATGGGCTCTTCCTGCAGGGTCAGCCTGGCCTCCAGGTGTGGACATCTGAACGCAGGAACCGAGAGGCACGGCCACCAACCGGCCACGAGGTCAGAGGCCCTGGCACAGTGCTGGCTCCTGGGTCCGTGGGACATCTGAGTGCTCTGGGCCTGCCTGTCCTGGGCTGCGTCGCGGTGTCACTGACCGGTGCTTCTCTGTCTCCAGACGAGCAGTGTGAGCGGCATCGACATCGCTGGCCTGCTCAACAACCCGAGCTTCATAAACATGGTAACGGCCCCGGCACCCCTGCCCCACGGTGTCTCCGCCACAGCCCACGCGCGTGCCAGTGTCACTGCTGCTGGGGCTCCCTGGCCTGGCCAAACAATCCAGGACAGTGAAGCCCCGTCTCTAGCTCAGTTCCTGCTGTGACAGTGACAGGCACCGCCGTGGCCTCTCCTGCATCCAGAGATAACACAGGGTCCCAGGTACCCAGGGCCATGATGCCACCCTCTAGGAACAGCATCCACTGCATGCAAGGGACATTGGCCTGTGGCAGCAGCCTCCTTGCGGCCTCGCCATGCACGCTTTTCCATTTCTGGGGTGGTCTCCCCCTCCCTAGCCCTCCCTGGCATGGAGCTCACAGAGGCTGCCCTGCTGGTGTCACCCGGTATCTCCTTCACCCTCCTATGGGAACCTGGCACCGGCCCTTCACGGGCCTCTCAGCACAGCAGTGAACTCGGGCTGGTGGGTCATGGCTACCAGTGGGTTTTTTATGGGATGCGGCCAGGCCTGCCTGGACGCTGTGGTCACTGGCCACCCTCACCCTGGAGGGGCTGTGGCTGGTGCAGCTGGACATACACTGCCCTTTACGAGACCCACAGGCCAGAGGCTCGGAGCATCTTACTGTTGGCTGCTTTAAGTCAGTCCTGCCAGGCACGGTGGTAGGCGCCCGTAATCCTAGCACGCAGGAGGATTGCCAGCCTGAGCTGTATGCGCAGATCCTGTCTGAAGAACAAACAGAAAAATGAGTCCTTAGGAATAATCCAGGAGGGAAAGTGAGGGAGGCCCAGGACTGCTCTGTCCACCAGCAGAGCCAGGCCAGAGAGCCCCAGCTGCCTGAAAGTGAACAGCAGTGACAACAAAGGACAGATGTGCCGCCAGTGGGACCCAAGCTGCCGGCCAGAAGAGCTTGTGGGGCTGCCGGCCTGTCTGAAGATCAGGACAGGATGGGACAGGAGCTCCAAATTCAGGAACCATAGCTCTTGAGGACAGGGAGCCACCATATAGGGAAAGAGTTAAAACGCCAAGCCTGTCATTCCAGCACTGAGAGGCTGAGGCAGGAGGATCCTAAGTTCCAGACCAGGCTGAGCAACTTAAACTTTGTCTCAAAATTTAAAAATGGCTGGCGGAGTAACTCAGTTGTACAGCACCCTTGCATTCCCAGTACCACCAAGGGGGGAAAAGAACTTGCAAGAGAAAGTGTTGGGACAGTACTTTTGGTGACAGAGGTATTCTTTTTTTCAGGCATCAAGCTTAATGAACAGCCCCCAACTCCAGCAGCTGTAAGTGACACAGTCCCTTTGTATCCATGTATCTCTGGCAAAAGGGGCATAGCATTAAACAATTGTTTTGAACTGTTTTACAGTATACACCTTGGTGACAGTAAGCACATTCACAATGCATGCACCCGTTTGCCCTGTAATTCCAATCACCCTGTCACCCCAAAGGAAGCCCCGTCTGTCCCCACAGCAGTCACCCATCCCCTCTCAGCCTGGCACCCCCGAGTCCACTTGCTGTCCTGGAGTCGCCTGTCCCGGGTGTTTCCTGTCTGTGGAGCCCACGCTGTGTCCTCTGTCTGTGGCGTCTCTCACTCAGTGGGGCATCCTCAGGGTCCCTCCCTGCGGTGGCGAGTGTCACAGGCTCGCTCTTCTCCACGGCTGGGTCCCATCCCTGTGTGGGGTGGTCTTCACTGTGTCCACCTGGGGCTTCGCGGGCTGCCTCTGCTCACGGACTGCTGTGAACTGTGCCTCTGGTGTCTGGGGACACGAGCCCATCGGAACATTTTTGAATCCGTCCTCAGTCCCCCTGGGTGCCTACCTGGCAGTGCCCTCGCTGGGTCACGTGCTGACTGGCTTGTCCCCGCTGCCTGGCCTCACGATCCGGTTGTAAACAGCTCAGCCACAGAGCTGCTGGGCTGCCCTCTGGGTACTGCTGGGTGCTGAGCGGCGTCCTGGCCTGCACTCCGTGCCTGTCCTCCCAGTCTTGGCAATCACAGATGTTACTCAGTGTCCCCTGGGGCAGAACTGCCTTCTCTGAGACCCACTGTTCAGGGAACGCTGGCAAAGCCACAGGGCCTGGAGAGGAGGCCACAGAACGTCCCCTCCCGGGACGGCCCGCAGCTGAGAGGCGATCCTCCCTGGGCGTCTCCTGGGGCTGTTGTGACCCTGGCCCGCGTCTTCCCACAGCATGTCTGGGATGATTTCGGGCAGCCACAACCCCTTGGGGACCCCTGGCACCAGCCCTTCTCAGAACGACCTGAGCGGCCTCATCCAGGCGTGAGTGGGCCGCACCCGGGGCGGGGGTGCCAGTGGGCGGGACGAGGGCACAGTTCAGGATGAGTCCCAGCTGCCCCTGGCACCCAGTGCCCTCCACCCTGCTTGATGCCACCCTGATGAAGGCAGAGGGTTGAGGGGCCCGGGGTGTGGCCACGAGCCGAGCCATCCGCAGGGGTCAGCAGTTCGCGCAGCACATGCAGATGCAGAACCCCGAGTTCATCGAGCAGCTGCGCAGCCAGATGCGCAGCCGGACCCCCAGTGCCAGCAATGAGGAGCCGCAGGAGTGACGCGGCAGGTGAGCCCGGTGGGGCGGGGCGGCTGCCTGCACCTTGTGGTTCATTCCATTCCACTGTTTTGTCCCGGAGAGCAGGTGTTACTTTGGTGATTCCGCAAAATAAGCTTGTCCCAGGTGGCCCTGGTTGCCAGTCCGCGGGGTCTCTAAGCTCAGCGTCTTCCCTTATTTTTATTTTCTTATCTTTGGTGCTGGGGATGGAACCCAGGACCTTGCATGTGCCAGGCAAGGGCTCACCACCTAGCCGTACACCAGCCCTCTTCCTTCTAACAAGCTATTTGTTTTTGCCTTTTTTTCTTTTTTTTAATGCTCCCCCACCCCTCCCCTGGTACTGGGGATCAAATTCAGGAACTTGTGCTTGCAAGACAGGCACAGTGCCACTGAGCTACAGCCCCAGCCCCCCTTGTTTTGGTTTTTGAGACAGGATCTTGCTGTGTAGCCTCAAACTCGTCAGGAGTTGAGCACAATGGCAGGTGCCTGTCATCCCAGCCCCCAGGGAGGCTGAGACAGGAAGACTGTAAGTTTGAACCCATACTAGTGAATTCTGTGACTTAGCAAGAACTTGTCTTAAAATAACACATGAGAATGGCCAGGGGTGGGGCTCAACATGAAGGCTGTGGGTTCAGTCTCCCATACCCCAAAACTGACACCTCAGGGTTCTGGTGGCCATGTGTGTTTTTTTTTGTTTTGTTGGTTGTTTTTTTGTTTTGTTTTTTTTTTGTTGTTGTTGTTGTTGTTTGAGGCATTTTAGTTTTCTTCAGTACTGGGGATTGAATCTTAAAGCCTTCAGCTGAGCTACACTCCCAGGGACAGGGTCTCGTTGAACCACTCAGTTGCACAATTTGCCATCCTCCTGCCTCAGCCTCCCAGAGCACTGGCTGACAGGTGTGCATCACAGCCCTACCTCTGCTGTTAATTTTCATGGTGCAGTACCCCCTGCCCCTTGCCATCCTCCCTCATGCATGGGCCTCACATCCACTTTCCGCCCTGATTGCCCATCTTTCTGTCCCCCAGCCAAGCCAGCTCCATCCTGTCCTTCCCGGCTGACCAGAATCCTTCGCGTGTTTTGCCATTTTCTCCCATTGGACTGCTGAAGAGAGAACCAGAGAACAAAGTCGGGCCTGCATGTTACGATGGACCCCGCCCCTGCTTCCCCTGTCCAGCCTCCTCCATCCCTTCACAGCCCGGGCCCCTTGTGAGGAAAGGAAGAGCCAGAAAGCCCAGCGCCGACCAGCAGCAATCTCCTTCCCGGCTCCAAGAGCCCCGCAGTCACTGAACCCGGTCCCCGTAGCCCCCGCCGCCCCCTCCATTTGTCCACAAGGACTTTGAGAGCCAAGCCGACCTCAAGGCCTGGGACGAGCTCACTGCCAGCCCCAGCCCGGGCACCCACACCCTGGACTGCGTGTGCCCCACTGGAGGACCTTGAGCTGCAGCGCCCGACACGACTCCTGCCCCCTGGCCCTCGCGCTGCCCAGCGTGTGGACGGGCTTGCTCCCTCCATCTTCGTCGCGTGGTCCTCAGGGCCAGCCGCTCAGCACGGCCTCGGTCCAGCCTGTGCAGAAGGACCATGTCCTGTTCTGCTGCAGGCCGGGCCTGGCACCGCCTGCTCGTCTCTGAGACAGCATGGAAGCCGCTTCTGGGGCAGCTGCTGCTCCGAAGTGTGGCCTCGCAGATGTCCCCACTGCCACTGTGACCCCTGGGCTGTGGGCACCACTGGCCCAGACGACGGGTTCTGCGGGAGCAGGCGGTGCCCATTGTAGGAAGCCGGTAGGAAGTGGGCGGCATGGCCACCAAAGCCCTCACCAGCGGGACACATCTGTCCGCAGGAGCCATGCGGGGAATAAATGAATTAGACATGGTGACCTCCCCTCACTGGTGTTGGCCTCTGGGCGGCACGGGCCCCTCCCCCTCCACACCCGCGGGGCCCCACACTCCCGACGGCAGCCTCTGCCCGAGCCCAGCTGCTCACACCCCGGGGACTGCATTCAGAGCCGCCTTGCTGGGTCATGTGCTCCCTTTCCTGCGGCCCAGGGAGCCTCCCTAACAGCAGCATGGGGCGACCGGAGCAGCTCATCAGGGCTCCCAAGCTGCTGCCACTGGGAGATCACACCCTGGGAGAGGTCCTGCCATCGCGGAGAGTGGCGCAGGGGAATTGGGTTCAGCTCCCATGGGTGACAGGAGAGAGGGCAGAGGACAGGCGGTCAGGTCCTCCAGGCACCGCAGGTGGTGGCCAGGAGCACAGCCCGTGCAGTGCCCAGGATGCCCACAGAAAACGCCCGTGGGACTGCAGTGTCCACAGGGCCCAGGTCGAGAAGCCCAGCGGAGGGAGACGCGTTGCACCCTGCCAGGCCCCGGGTGCTTGGTGAACGGACAGGTCACTAGTGGTGCATTCTCGTGGGGCACTGCCGAGCACACAGTGCGCCTCAGTCCTCTTCCCTCCATCCGTCTCCTCCACTCCAACCCCCCAAAGGCAGTGCCTCGCCACCTGCACCTTCCCGGGGGTTTTGACTCCTGAGTCCTTCTGAGCCACACCAAAGCCTGAGGGCAGCCGCCCGGGCTCCATGCCCCTTAGTGTCTGCAGCAGCCCCATCGCCCTACACCCTGAAGAGCTGACCTGTCAGTGTCTCATCCCTGAACCCCAGGCTTCTGCATGCTTGATGGGAAGCTGTCATCAGTAATTACTGCTTGGTCCCACACGATCTGGAAATGAGTTATTTTTGAACATTGCTGTCAGAATGAAAGACTAGTGATTTAACGTGGATTTAGTGTAAGTCGTGACTTGCGTTCCCAGGAGTGGATTGAACCTTGCAGTTTGAGGCAGCGATTGCTTTCCTTAAATTAGGGGATTCTTTTTTGTTTTTTTGGTTTTTTGAGACAGGGTCTCACTACGTAGTTGAGACTGACCTGGAACTCACTGCTATGTAGCCCAGGCTGGTCTCGAAGTCACAGTGATCCTCCTGCCTCAGCCTCGTGAGTGCTGGGATTACAGAAGTTAGGGGATTCTGAAGGCTCTGCAGCCTTGGGAAGGAAGTCCCTCAATTGCAGATGCCATCATCTTAGTCCATGAAGCATCAAGGAGCAGATCGTGTCTTTTGCAGAACCGGCGTGGTGATTTTCCTCCACAAGCACCATTACCAATATCTGGGGACATGTGGCTGTCAGCTGGGGGAGTCCTGGCATGGAGCGGGTGGAGGCCAGGAATGCTGCTCGGCACGGGAAATAGTGCACGCCAAAGTGGGCAGCTTGACCTAAAGCCAAGGGGGTTTGCTCACCCTGCTCCTGATCTGGTAAAATCTAATTGCACTGGGCATGGTGGCACACACCTGACTGCCAGCAGTCAGGAGACTGAGGCAGGGATGTGACAGCATTCAAGGCCAACCTGAACGAGTTTGGCCCCTTTTCCAAAACAACAACAAAAATCTAATTGCAAAAACTTAAGAGGAATGGCGAGCTGGAGTGGTTGCCCACTCGACCTGCACGGTGTGTGCCAGCCCATTGATGTCTTCTTCCCTTTTTTTCTTGTGGTACTGGGGATCGAACTCTGGTCCTTATGCTTGTGGGGCAGGCACACTGAGCTAAATCCCCAGCCCCATCGGTGTCTCCTGATGGCGCGCATCTGGGTCTCTGGTGTAGCTTCAGGTCTGGACGGACCCAGCTGTACCTGGTTGGACCTGACCTGGCCTTGTTAGATCCTGGAGCTGCTGCTATGCCTAGCGATTGGCACAGTGCTCATGGAGCTGCTGCTTTAGAATTACAGGAATAAAACAAAACATCCTCTGCACCACGGGTGTGTGGACAGGTACCCAGCAGGGTGCAGAGTTGAGCAGCCAGCACAGCTTAACCCTGCACTGCCTGGCACTGCTCACCTCCGCAGCGCGTACTCTGAAGTTGAGCTTCCTGATGATAGCCTAGTCTGAAACGATGAGTCCCACCACTGAGCTTTCAGGCCGCGGGCAGAGCCACAGAGTGCTACCCACGCGACTCTGCTACAGCTGCCCCCAGGAGGCCCCTGCCGTGTGCTCCCGCAAGCTTGAGCAAGGCACCCCAGTAGGCCCTACCTTCTAAAGACACCCTAGTAGTGCAAACCAACAGGCCTTCTGGGGACATTTAACCCCGAACTATTATTTCCCCCCTGGAATTGGGTGGGGGGCGCTGCTTAATTCTTTCTTGCTGCTGCATGACAATGGATTATAAAGATGGATCAAAATTCCTTTAACTTTTGCCAGTCCCAGCTCCCAGGAGGATCGGAGCAAGTTCAAGGCCAGCCTGGGTTACATAGTGAAACCGCCTCTGGCTGGGGATTTAGCTCAGTGGTGCCACCTGCCTCACAAGTGGCAGGTCCCAAGTTTGATCCCTAGTACCCCCCCAATTTTTCCCCTTAAATATCCCTTCATTTGTTTCCATTTGGGAGTGATTTCTCACAAGGAGGAGTCTCACGGTATAAAAAGTGACTGCACTTCAGTTTCTCGTGCAGCTAAATTCCAACATCATATAGTTGTTTTTTTAAGTGCTGGGGGTTGAACCGAGAGCCTTGTGCATGCTACCCAGGCACTCTACTGCTAAGCTACCCTCCCAGCCTGTTTTGTTTTGAGACAGGGTCCCCCTGTGTTGTCCAGGATGGTCTTGCACTTATAGTCCTCCTGCTTCAGCCTCCTGAGTTGCTGGGATGCCAGGCGTGTGCAGCTGTGCACAGTGTGTACCAGGGATCGAACTCAGGACCCTGTGCTTGCAAGGCAGGCGGTGGCACCACTGAGCTAAACCCCCGGCCCTGTACACAGAGGTAGCACATAGCTTTGTACTTCTTCAGCGTGGGCTGCACTGAGTGACTTTTCCAAGAGGAAAGAATAGAAAAGGGGAGAAAAGAGGGCTTTCACCACAAGTGACCTGAGCAGCACCTGCCACAGGCAGGTGGTCGGGTCACGGTCAACAGTGCTTTGTCACACTGACAGGCAGCATGGGCTGTGGCCACGCTGTCATGAGCAGGGCAACACAACTCCATGGTCCTCAGCAACACCAAAGCCAGTCGTGATGGTACACGCCCTTCATCCCAGCACTCTGGGAGGCTGAGGCAGGAGGGTCAAAGGTTGAAGGCCAGGCTGGGCAAGTTAGCAACTCATCGAGATGCTGTCTCAAAATGAAAAAAGGCCTGGGAGTGGAGCTCAGTGTTACGGTCCTGGGTTCCATCCCTGGTAATACAAAAAATTAAAAAAAACAATACAATTGGTAGCAAAAAGATGAGAAAATTCCCAGTGGAAGAACATTTCCTAAAATATCAGACCAGTATTTCTCAAAACTTGCTACCGACCGTAGGGCAGCAAACACGGGATTTCACGAGGAGATACAGGTTCTCTGAAAGGTGGGAGCAGGTTCGGCGATGACAGTCAGACAAAAGCACTCAACACCGAGGTGAAGTTTGCAAATGCTGCTGCAATTTTATTTCTAACTCCAGGTGTTTATATACTAGTTTCAAGGGCATACCTCAAGAGTGATTCCAGTCACAAGCAGGCATGAGAAAGATAGACAATAGTACTGTAAAAACTAAGGCCACAAGGTCAAGGTAAGACCACACCTATATACCATCACAAAAGCTAAGACCACTAAGTCAAGGTAAGACCACACCTATACGCAGTCAGAAGGGGAAGTTTGTAAAACAAAGGACTGGCTTCAGCATGTCACCTTCAGGTTCACCTTCAGGACTTCACAGTCCGGGGCTCAGGGTCAGCACTTTGGCCGCCCGTCCTCTTGTGCCTCAATACCTCCCCATCTCTAGGAACATCTAATTGTTCCTAACCTTTCCTGGGCCCAGAATACAATTCTACAGATAATGAACAAATAGTAATAAAGACAAAATAGAACAGAATTATAAATGAACCCAATGTCCCCAAACTGCAGGCGGAGAGGCCAGCTATTCTCTTCACGGCTGACTTCACATGCGGTGTGTGCCAAGGACTTCCAGGAGGCTTAACCCCGTGGGGACGATACCTCTGGTCTGGTTTCTGCCAGGTGACCGGCATTGTCACACAGACTCTACTGGAGTGGTCGTGGCAAAAACTGTCCAGGTTGAGTGGGGCGTGGTGGCACTCGCCTGTAATCCCAGCACTCAGGAGGCTGAAGCAGGAGGATCGCTGGGAGTTTGAGGTCAGCCTGGGTTATGTAGTGAGTTCAATGCCAGCCTGAACTACACAGTGAGACCCTGTCTCTAAACACCAAAACCATAACAAACAAACAAAACCCTGCCCTAGTCATCCAACACCAAGGTCATCGGAGAAGCTCTCACAGCCTAGAGAAGCACAGCAGACAGCAGACATGACATGGAACCGTCCTCACTGGGTGCTGGACAGCATCTTGGGCAGAGAAGGGACACTGGCAGTAGCCAAACACAGTGGTGCACACCTGTAATCCCAGCTACTCAGGAAGTTGAGGCAGGACAATTGCAAGTTTTAGGACACCCTGAGGACTTTCATGTAGCCTAGACTGAAAATAAATTTTGCAAACGGGCTGGAGGTGTAGCTCAGCATTTCTGGCTTCAATCCCCAGTACTGAAAAGAAGATATTAGATAAAAACTAACCACTGCCTGCCTCACAAGTGCAAGGTCCTGAGTTCGATCCCTGGTACACACACACAAAAAAGATAAATGTATGATGTCACATGGATGTGAGATGTTAATAAAATGGAAACCAGTGGACAGAGTATGTAAACTCAACTTTTTTTTTGCAATTTTTCTGTAAATAGTTTTTTTTTTTTTTGTACCAGAGATCGAACTTGGGACCTTATGCTTGCAAGGCAGGTGGCTGCACCACTGAGCTAAATCCCTAGTTCTGTAAATAGTTTTTTTTTGAGGGGGTACCAGGAATCGAACTCAGGACCTTGAGCTTCCAGGCAGGTGCAGAACCACTGAGTTATGTACCTGGTCCTAGGGTTTTTGTTTTTTCTTGATATGCAGTTCAGGCTGACCTTGAACTTGCTACATAACCCAGGCTGGCCTCAAACTCAAGGTGATCCTCCTGCCTCAGCCTCCCGTGTTGGGATTATAGGCATTCACCACCACCATAACTGGCTATAAATATTCTAAAAAAATGTTTTTTAAAAATACTGTACTTTTTAACTTTAAAAAATATTCTTTTTGCAGTGCTGTGGATGAAATCCAATCCTTGCACAAGCTAGGCAAGCTCTCTGCCTATGACGCCTCCAACCCATTTCTAAATTTTTACCTGGAGACAGTATCCAAGTAATGCACCTGCCTCAGCCTCCTGAATAGCTGGCATTAAAATGTGTGCCACTGTACCTGGATGTAAAACATAATTTTTTTTTAAATTTTGTTTGTACTGGGACCTGAACTCAGGTCCTTGCGTTTATGAGGCAGGCCCTGGAACCACTGAGCTCAATTCCCAACCCACAAAGCATAATTTTAAAACTGGGAATGATTCCAAGATCATCCATTGCATGTAGCTATCGTATCTATCTTTTCTTTGGTGGTGGCGGGGAGGGGGTGAGACAGGGTCTCACTATGTAGTTGAGACTGACCTGGAAATCACTGTGTAGCCCAGACTGGTCTCGAGCTCACAGTGATCCTCCTGCTTCAGCCTCCCGAATGCTAGGATTACAGGTGTGTGCCACCACGATCATATCGGTTTTTTCTTTTTCTTTTTTTTTTTTTTTCAGGACTGGTGATTGAACCCCAGGATTTTCAAACTGAGCTAAAACCCTAGCCCTTATAACATGTTTTTCATTTTGAAACAGGCTCTCCCTAAGTGACTAAGTTGCCCCGGCTCGGCTTGAATTTGGAATTCTCCTGCCTTAGCCCCCAAGAATGCAGGAATACTAAAGGGTGCAACAACGCGCCCAGCGTGTATTTTGTTTCTTAAGCCTCCCGGAAGGGCACCAGCAGCGAGGATGCCTCCACAGAGACCGTCCCGGTAGTAAATCTCTTCCTGCCAAGCTTCCAACCAAGCAGGATTCAGCACCAGAGGCCCCTGGACAGTTCTGGAACCCAAACCCTTTAGGAACCAATCCTTGGTGGTTCAACTTTCCCACCCGGAGCCGCATAGTGGCTGCGCCTCCGTTTAGCGGGAGGAAACGACTCTCCCGGACCAGTGCGAGAAGTGGAATGGCAGAATGAGTGGCAGCCTCATCAGCCAATAACTTGTGAATTCTAGCTACAGGCGTTCTGGGAGGCCAATAGGCTTTGTTGTGGGCGGGACGTGGGCATCGGCGCGCTGAGCCTGGAGCTTGCCTAGACCGAGGAGGCCGCCGCAGCGGTTGGCGGCGGGCGGAGCCGGCCGGCGGGCGAGACAGGTACCTGCTGGGTGAAGGGTGGGTCTGGGGCAGCGGGGCAGGGCTGGAAGGCCTGGCGGACTCCGCCCGTTAGCCAAGGCCCGGCTGCGTTGTGCGCCTGCACGGGCACACAGTAGGCGCTCACTAAGTGCTGAATGAATGAATGGCCCAGTCCTCTCTGCGGTCCAGGCCGATCGGCCCCCAGTTGGAGAGCGTTCGGGCAGATGTCACGCGCACTCCACGGCCTAGGGCAGCCAGGCACCGACAGGCATTTATCGGGCGCCTACTGTGTGCCTCTGCGGTTTTGCGGGGTGCACAGCGTGGAGGGCGGGCGAGTTTGAACGCGTTTAATTTATGTGGTTCCCACTATTGCACAAACTAGAGGCGAGGACGGGCAGGAAAGGCGACAAGAGGGCCCTATGAACCCCGACATCTAAGCAGATGCCTGTAGAGGGGAATAAATGAAAGGGGCAGGTCTGGAGAAGAGCCGGGGCGGGGCTTGGCCGGCAGCGTGAAAGAGCCTACTTGGGGGAAAACAAAAGATGGAGGAGCTGGGGTTCCTTCTAGTGACTCCACATTTCGGGGTCCAGAGTGAAATCTCTGCTTTGCTCCATCGAGTCCCATGCAGAGGCCCACACGCTCTGCTGATTTACCTGGTGGCCGCTGGGCATCTGTTCTGCCCAGCCTTGTGGTGGGTACAATACAGTTTGGGGAGGGGGTAGGTGGGGACAGTGATCCTAAATGAGGACACATCCTTGGAAGGTTGGAGTAGAAGGGTGTTACAGGCAGAAAGAACAACCCATGCAAAGGCCCTGTGACAGGGAGTTTGGCACAGTTGAGGAACACTGATGTGGGTTTAGGAGAGGGGAAACCAGTCATACAGAGCCTCAGCCTCAGTGTAAAGAGTTTGGATTCTGCCAGGGATTTAACTCAGTGGTTCCGCTGCCTGCCTCGCAAGCACAAGGTCCGGAGTTCAATCCCCAATATAGAAAAAAAAAAAAAAAAAAAAAAAAAGAATTTGAATTCTGTATCAGGGCAGTGGAAAACCCGAAGCCATGTCCCCAAGTAACTTCACCACAAAGACAGCGATTCCTGTCCTCAGCCTAAGGTAGAAGTCACCAGGTACCTATGGCTACTAAGCACTTGCAGTGCAACCAAGCAGAATTTTAAACTGTATTCAGCTGTAACTGACACAGAGCTGCAGTAGCTGGTCAGTAGCTGCCGGATTGGGATTGGATGCTGCAGCCCCTGGAGGGTTTTTTCCGAAGAAGGCGGAGATAGGCATGAGCTGTGGGGTAGACCAGAGTGCTCGGTGTGACAGACCCGGTACCCAGAGCTGTTTAGATGACCCCACAGCTAATATGGTTGCGCTTGATATTCACAGTTGCAGGGTGGAGCATGATTTTCCTGCCGCGTGGCCGGCCTGGTAGTGCACTGTGGCACTGACCTACCTACATGTCCATGTGTGATTGGGCCCCGTGGTGACTGGCACAATCCAGCCTGCCACCATGGCGAAGCTGTTGGTGGCCAAAATCCTCTGCATGGTGGGTGTGTTCTTCTTCATGCTGCTGGGCTCCCTGCTCCCCGTGAAGGTCATCGAGACGGACTTTGAGAAAGCCCATCACTCCAAAAAGATCCTTTCCCTCTGCAACACCTTTGGTGGCGGGGTCTTTCTGGCCACCTGCTTCAACGCACTGCTGCCCGCCGTGCGGGAGAAGGTAAGGCCTCCCCAGGTGATGGTTACAGCCCTGACCACCTTAGCCCAGGGGCTCTGATGGTTTTTCACTGATAACCAAGTCCAGTGACGGCCTCAATGCTGTAGGGATGAGGGAAAGGAGAAAATGAACTACTGTGTAACCTTATATTGGTGGCCACCCCTCTCTGTGCCTCACCTGGTAAACAGCAGGTTTGGACTAGACCTGGATCGGGACTAGACAGATGGTCCCAGTAGGGCTAAACATCCAGGCCAGCCTCCGTACTCTGGATGTTACACACTTTGTCCCACATTAAGTGAGGCCACACTGTGGTTCCTGCATCTGTCAGCTACTGCTGCATAACAAGTCACAACAACTTGGCCGTGGCTGCCAGGTAACCTCCACTGAGCCTGGGCCAGTGTAGTTGTAGGGCCGAGTGGGCTCGGTTTACCTGCCTGCGGGAAGGGCAGAACTTCCAGTGCAGCCCCAGTTCCCCAGCCCCTGCCCAGGTCTCGTGGTGCCTGATGTCCCTCTCCCTGGGGAGGTGGCACCCATGTTCACCACGTGCCTTCCGTAGGCCCCTAACGCTGGGACCCTGGCACACGTCCTCTCCCAGGGCCTCATCTGGCCCGTGTCCGGTTCATCACCAGGAAGCCAGCTCTGACCGAGAGGAGGGCAAGGCTCAGGTGTGCATGCGGAGGAGGCAGCTCACAAAACACCACACCTCTGTCACAGGTTAAAGAGGCCAGGGCAGCGCGCTGCTTGGGCCAGCAGGAAGGGGGCACACCGGGTACAGCCCCCCAAGCCATGTGCAGGCAGCGAGGGGGAGGGGGGACCCGTGAGCCACAGCCTTCATGAGTATCAGGCAGGTGTCCCAGGGGACCCTTTTTATGTTTTGTTTTTTGAGACGATCTTATGTAGCCCAAGCTAGCCTCATACTTGCAGTCCTCCTGCCTCAGCCGACAAGGGCTAAGACCAAAGACCTTTAAAGCAAGCAGTGTAACTCCTATGGGTGCCCTGAGACAAGAGGGGTCACCATGCAGGGTGTGGTCCGTGGGTGAGTCCGGCCAGCTGTGTCCAGCATCCACAGGGAGGAGCCCTCAGGAGCAGCTGTGCAGAGATCTGGCAGCTCCCATGGAAGAGCTGGGCAATGGGAGCTGGAACCTGTCAGGCAACCAAGCCCTGCTGGCCGAGAAAGTTAAACCTGTTTTGAGGAGCTTCTGTTGCAACCTGAAATTCTAGGAATTCACTACAGGGCCCCTGGTTTAGGTAGGGTACTGGGAAATTCCACGTAAACTGAGACTTCACCAGCCATTACCAGGCTGGGGCAGGAATGTCCCTGACAGTGTGGGCAGCATGTGCAAAGGCCCTGGGGTTTCAGGGAGCCTGGCATGCTCACATCTGGATGAGGCCAGGGAGGATACCTGGATCCCACAGCCACTTGCCTTATCTAGCTCTTCAGGTATTATGAGACTCTTCAATGTGTTGTGAGATGTGAAGATCCCAAGTTCAAGGCTAGGTGGAACTACATAATGGGACCCTATCTCAAAGAACCAGAAAGGTTTCCAAATTACAGTTAAATAACATACAGAGCCAGGTGTGGTGGCACATGCCTGTAATCCCAGCACTCAGGAGGCTGAGGCAGGAGGATCGCTGTGAGTTCGAGACCGGCCTGGGCTACATAGTGACTTCCTGGTCAGTCTCAACTACATAGTGAGAACTTGTCTTCAAAATCCAAAATAAATAAATACAATAACATACAGCACCCCGATCTTTTGTCTATCCACGTTTCCAGTTCTCAGCCCAACACAGCCAGTGGCAGAGAGGGCAGCTACTCTCTAGAAAGTTCTGGGGGTAGCTCCAACTCACAGGACCCACAGGGTGGCCACGTGTGCAGTGAACCTCATATTCACGCCTGCCTGCATCAGAGTGGGAGGAGACGAGCCCTCACTAGGGGGCTGAAATCAGTGGCCTCTCGTGGCCGCCTCCTAGGCTGCAGATTGCCTCTCGCCACCCCATGTCTCGGTGGCTCCTTGGGGACCCTTTGTGTCTCTTTGAAGGGCCCTGTGCTGTGGGTTAGGGCCCACTGTGTGGCCTTGTGCTAAAACCTGTCACCTCTCGGGGCTGGGGATTTAGCTGAGTGGTTCTGCTGTCCGCTTCACAAGCACAAGGTCGGGAGTTCAATCCCTGGTGCCCCACCCCCAAAAAACAATCAAAACAAAAAAACCTTGTCACCTCTTTAATGGCCACGTGGGCAGATTTATTGATTTATTTATTGAGGATGGAAACCAAAGCCTTTGCTCTGACCTATGTCCCCAGCCTCCGTCCCTTTTATTGAGACAGGATCTCACTAAGTCACTTAAGTTGCCCAGGCTGAGCTCAAATTTGTGGTCCTCCCGCCTCAGCCTCCCAGAGTGCTGGGGTGACAGATGTGCACCACCGCGCTCAGCCCTCCTAGGTTTTGGCCCCCAGTGCAAATGGGATATTTCTGGGCTTTGCGAGTTGAGAGCTGTGTCCCACTGTGCCGCCTCTAATGGCCCTTGTGCCTGTGCCGCCAGCTGCAGCGCGTACTGAGCCTCGGGCACCTGAGCACCGACTACCCGCTGGCGGAGACCCTGCTGCTGCTGGGCTTCTTCGTGACCGTGTTCCTGGAGCAGCTGGTGCTCACGTTCCGCAAGGAGAAGCCGTCCTTCATCGACCTGGAGACCTTCAACGCGGGCTCGGACGCGGGCAGCGACTCGGAGTACGAGAGCCCCTTCGCGGGGGGCGTGCGCGGCCACGTGCTCTACGCCGAGGGCCACGCGCATGCGCACGGCGCGGGCCTGAGCGTGCAGGAGCTGTCGCGCTCGGGGCCGCTGCGCCTGCTCAGCCTGGTCTTCGCGCTGTCGGCGCACTCCATCTTTGAGGGCCTGGCGCTGGGCCTGCAGGAGGAGGGCGAGAAGGTGGTGAGCCTTTTCGTGGGCGTGGCCATCCACGAGACACTGGTGGCGGTGGCCCTGGGCATCAGCATGGCCCGCAGCGCCATGCGCCTCCGTGACGCGGCCAAGCTGGCGGTCACCGTGAGCGTCATGATCCCGCTGGGCATCGGCGTCGGCCTGGGCATCGAGAGTGCCCGCGGCATGCCCAGCAGTGTGGCCTCCGTGCTGCTGCAGGGCCTGGCGGGTGGCACCTTCCTCTTTATCACCTTCCTGGAGATCTTGGCCAAAGAGCTGGAGGACAAGAACGACCGGCTGCTCAAGGTCCTCTTCCTGGTGCTGGGCTACGCTGTGCTGGCCGGCATGGTCTTCCTCAAGTGGTGAGTCTCCTCCTCCTTCCTGTCCTCCGCGCTGTGACTGCCCTGAGCCCCTGGCCGCACTCAGGCCACGCCCCTTCCCACCTCCCTGGAGAGGGAGCCCGGGGTTGCGGCCTCCGCAGGTCAGGCCGCGCCCCCACCCTGGATCTCACATCTCCATGCCCTGATACGACTTTAAAAATACTCTAAAGGATTTGCCAGAGCTGTGTGGCCATGTCAACCTTGGGCAGGGAAGGGTGCAGCTGGCGGGAGGTGGGGCCTGGTCTGCGTGTCCAGACCGGGTCAGCCCCAGACTTGCCCGGCCACACCCCAGCCGAAGACAGGAGCCTTGGCCTCCGCTGTGCCCAGGGCACAAGCAGCGGAGCAGCATCTAGCAACTGGACTGGGCTGGCCTGGGCGACTGCTAGGCTCCAGCCAGGCACCGGCATTGACCCACCCTTCGAATGAGCACACGCGCGCGCGCGCGCGCGCACACACACACACACGCACACTCTACAACTCCCACCTCCAGGGCAAAAAGTCCCTGGGGCGGGGAGCCTGTCGTGTCCTAGCAACCCCTCCCAATCTGACCTGTCACCCTGGCAACCTCAGCATCTGGGGACCCGGAGTCCAGTGAGCAGCTTTGCTTTGGGGAGATTGCCTGGTGGGAAGGAGCTGGGTTCTTAGCCTGGAGCCCCGTCTCCCTTGGCCACGTGCTGGATGCCAGGGTTTCCCAAGTGCCCCCACGGAGCCCACTGCGATCCAGTCCCCAGACTCCGGCCATGCTCTCTGTTCCCAGATTATTCCTGTGCCTGATGTCCAGTCACCACCCATGTCCCGGTGCTGTCCCCTCTCTGGCCAGTCAGGTTTCCCGACCAGGAGAGGTCCTCTTTGCCCCCTTGGGGCCCCTGTCCCTCATCACTGTGCCCAGCAGTGACCTGTCCAAGGGTGGTGTCCCCCGAGGGTGCTGCCGCCCGGCCCAGCTACCAGGACTCCAGCCGAATTAACCTTGAGAGCGTCTGTGGCCTGCGTATCCCTGTGCAGAGCCGTAGATCAGCCAGGGTTCAACCCTACCTGCAGGGCCCAGCACACGTGTCGGGGGCTCCAAGTCCTCTGGCAGGGTCTCCCCTCGGTGTTGTTGGAAGTCAGGCCCTTTTCTAGCAACTTCTAGCTGCATCTTCGTGAGCCTGGTGTAGCCTGACCTTGTCATGGGCTGGCAAGTGGCCGTGTGGCTGAGACAGCCCCGCAGGTGTCACGGAGATGCCAGACCCGCGTGGGAGGACCCAGGCTCTGCATGGATGTGGGCCGGGTGACATGACTGGGCCAGGACAGGAGAGCTCAGGTCCCCCTGACCCAGCAGAGGACAGTCTGCTCTATGGCCCCAGCTCTGTCTCTCCACCGTCGCCACCAAAGTGGACCATAGAGTGGCCTCCACACCAGCACGCCTGTCAAGCTGCGCCCAGGCCTTTTCCTTGCCTCCCCCCAGAGGAGCCTCCAAGATCATGCCAGCCCCTCAGCTGGAGCTGACCCCCGGGTCCTCAGCCTCCGCCAGGGACCCCTCATCCTAGGCCACGCCTGCTGCCGTCACACCGCGGTTCATCCAGCTGTGGGCCCCTGAGTTTATCCGGGCCTCCTCAGGATTTGGGGGAGGCAGGGGCTGTGGTCACAGGAGCAGCCTGCTCATCTGCCGCCCCTCCTGTCTACTGTGGTGAGAGAGACATGGTCAGCGTCAGGCCTTGTGGAGCCACAGGGACGGGACAGATAGGACCCAACCCGAGTGAGTTACATGGTGTTTCTTGGGCCCAACGTGGCGGCTTCCCAAAAGGGAGTGGAGGTGTCTCCACGGTCTCCCAGAAGGACCACAGCTCTCTCCAAGACACCTGATGTGGCCCGAACAGGGCCTGTCCTGGCTTCAGCCCCGCAGTGGGTCCTGACCACGTGTGTGTGCCCTGCCGTATGGTAGCGGGAGCTTCTGCCTGAGGGATGGGTGTCGCCACCACCCCGGGACACCCTGAGCGCCACAGAACCGCTGCAGAATCTGCTACGACAGGTGACAGACTTGGACCCGTGTGCCTCTGGGACCCAAGACCTGCCCCCGGCTGTGAAGGCCGGTGCCCCTCCTCAGGGTTGGTGCTGACTGGCATTCGCATTTGAGGTGATTCTGGCCCTGGGGACACGTGTGGCTGGAGGCCAGGGACGTCACTCCACACCCCGGGACGCCTGCCCCTCCTGGGGGTCCGCAACACAGAGCAGCGACAGGCGGACGACCTGCTTCTCACCCTGCCTGGAGCAGAGGGAGGGAGGGGAAGGGGCGGCCCCGGGCCTGCCGGTGGAGTCCCCGTAATGACAGCATGTCAAGCCCGTGTTCTCCCTTGTTTGTGTTCCCGCCTTGTGGGTGGGCGGGCTGGGGAGAGCCGAGTCCCAGGGCCCAGACGAAGCAGAGCGACAGCATCCACCCTTCCCGGGCAGGGGCACTGGAGTAGTACCTGTGTCGGGGCTTCAGAAAAAGCCCGGGACCTGCTCGACATTCCTGAAGACGCCCGCTTTCCTCTCCATGTACCCTGGTGGAGGTGGGTCCCCGGCTCCCAGGGACAGAGGGAGATGTCACTGTGGGGTGTGGGAATTCCCAGCGGAACCTGAACTCGGCTCCTGGGTGCGGGGCTGCAGCCAGGTTGGGCTGGGCGGGGCCACCCCTCTGCGGGGGCTGTGACCTTGCTGACCTCAGTCCAGGGCCAGCATAATCACTAGGCTCTGTCTGTCTTAGGTTTCATTTTTTTGTTTTCATTTTTGTTGTACTGGGGACTGAACCCAGGGCTTCACATTGACCTCCATCCCCTTTATTATTTTTTATTTTGAGATAGGGTCTCGCTAAATTGCCCAGGCTGGGCTCAAACTTATGATCCTTCTGCCTCAGCCTCCCAGGATGCTGGGGGTGACAGGGGAGCACCACCACGCTCACCTAGCTGTGCCCTGTCTCACGGGGAACTAGCCTGGAGGGGGACAGCTCAGAGCCCCGCTTCCTGAGTGCTGCCCAGAGTGTCGTGAGAAGCCCCCACTTCATCCGCTTCTCCCCTGGTTGCCCAGGGACTCAGAGGCTTCTGTCTCTGCCGGACTCGGGCATGAGGTGGCCCTCGAGGAGGGACTGCCCGCCTCGGCACTGCTGTAGTGTCCTGAGCACTGCAGGTGCTAAGCAGTGTCCCTGCCCTCTACCCACTCCATGCCAGGAGCTTGCCCAGCATCCCTGGGGGCCTGGTGGGTCCCCCAGCCCAGAACTAAGTCATCTCGTGTTGCAGCAAGGAAGACCAATAACATCAGCACAAGCACATCATTGGGTAGCAGTGGGTGCCAGGCAGGAGGAGAGCATTTTACCCTGTGCCCAGGAAGTGGTTCACAGGTGACATTGGAGAGGCGCTGGGGGAAGAGCGGCTCAGGCTGTGGGTGCTGGCTGTGCAAAAGCCCTGGGGCCTTTCTGCCAATCTCAGCCTTGTTTCCTGATGACAAAAGCAGTCTGGACTCTGTGTAGACGCACGTGTTGGGGCTTCAGGTTTATCCTACCAAGATAAATGCCTCAGGACCCTACTCCTACATAGCGCCGTAAGAGCCTCCCATATGCTAGGGAGAGTCCAGGTGCCTCCAGCAGCCCCACCAGCGCTGTAGTGCGGTGTGTCTTCCTGTGCTGCTCCTGCAGACAGGCTGAAGGGTGAGACCTCGCAGATGCCAGCCTGTGCTTCTGGGCGCAAACCAGCTTTTGACAAATGATCTTGTTTTAAAATATTGTTGCCGTGGGCTGGGAATGTAACAACCTGATGAGTGCTTGTCTAAAATGTGCGATGTTCTGGGTTCAGTCCCCAGCAAGGCAAAAAAGAAAAACTAACAATAATAATAAATTGTAAAGTAAAATATTGATGCCAATTTAAAAAACACGATACCTGCATGGCCCCAGCAGGGCACTGGGGTGCAGCGAGGTCCCTCAGGATACAGGATCGAGTGAGGACAAGGACGTGGCCGATGACGGCTGTCCCTTGTATTTCAGCGGCAGGAAGACTGAGTCCACCGGAAGTCCCTGGATCAGGCCTCCAGGCAGCCGCAGATGAAAAGAAGGGGTGCAGGGAGCCAAGCTCTCGTTCCGGCCGGGCCACTTCCTTGCTGGGCTGCCTTGAGGGAGTCACTTTTCCTTCTCCGAGCCTAGGTTTCCAGATGTGGGCAGGACAGTTGCCAGGCACAGCTCAGTGCCAGCCATGGTGACACCGGTCTGGTTGTCCTGCAGGCTCGGGGAGCTGGAAGGGCTACAGCTGGGAGTCTGGGGGCCCCCTCTTCCTGCCAGGCAGGCAGCCGGTTCTGAGTCTTCCAAGGCCCATGGAGTCTCCAAAGAGGCAGTGGGCATGGGCATGGGGTGGCCCGGGAGCCCCAGTTCCCACAGTAGCTCGCTCGGACTCCCTGACATCCACATTCTGCCACCCCCGAAATCTGGATTCTGCAGTTTACCAAGGACAGGTGAGGCCAGCAGTGCCCACCACCCTGGCTCTGTGCTCCACATCCGGCCGGCGGGCCGGGAAGCTATTAGTAGCAGGCAGTGGCGAGGAAATCAGGAATCGCCGCTGGGCCCGACTCTCCCCGCCTGGGTCAGTCGGGCCAGCCCGCTGGGACTGGCACCCCGGGGAGCATCCAGCCAGCGCTTCCGGTCACTCTGGAGAGGCTGCCTGAGAGAGGCCCGAGACGGGGTTCCGGGCCCAGGGATGCTCGGGGCGGGCAACGCTCGGTCAGGTCCCAGTGGAACTTGAACCTGGGCCTAGAAGCTGCACCTTGACGCGGGAGGTGGAGGGAGCCACAGCAGCGTTAGAGCTGGGGCTGATGGCCGGATGCTGGAGTACGGGAGCGGGCGGGAACCAGTACTCAGCCCTAGAGCCTCGGCGGCAGTGGGCTTGGGGGCAGCGCTGAGTTTCCAAGTGAACGGGAAGAGCCCACCTTGGCCACAGCTGAGAAGCAGCCAAAGAAGAGTGTGAATTTGAGCCCAGAGTCCAGCTTCCTCTGAGATCTGCCCAGGTGGGGTCAGGACGAGCTCCAGGCCAGAACTGGCGCAGGCCCGACATTCCAGCACTCGGGAGGCTGAGGCAGGTGGATCTTCAGTTCAGGCCAGCCTGGGCAACTTAGGCTCTGCCTCAAGGCTGGGGACGAAGCGTGTTACAAAAGCCCCAGTGCCAGGGGCAGAAGAGGGAGATGAGCTCCAGGCTTCAGGGAGGACAAGGGACGATGACTTCTGGTTGGCCTGACCACTTGCATGCATCCAACAACACCCAGGTCCCACGGCACGAGTTTATTCTCAGGTGCCCAGCTGCCCTCGCCCCTCCCTAGCGCCCCTGACCCAGGGTCACATGCCCAGCCCCGGCCTGCCCTTGACTCCTGTCCGCCCACTACACCCCTGCCCCAGACAAACCCTCCGCAGTGATTCTGAGCCCCCACT